GTAATCATGGAAATGTAGCATGATGGTAAATAACATAAACAAAGAACAAGAAAATTCAATAATAGAAAATTTCTCCTTTTTTGGTTTTTAGTTTTCATAGAAAATATAAATTGTTTATATGATACGCTGATGATCGTGGAACATTTGGGATTTGTAGTTTTACTAGTAAAGTTTATACCTTTCTTTTACACTTTAACATCTCTTTCTTTCAGTTTGAAGAATTCATTTCAACATTTCTTATAGAACATTTATAGTAGAAACATATCCTCTCACCTTTTGTCTCTAAAATGTTACTAACCAGCTCTCATTGCTACAGGATAGCTTTGCTAGGTATAATATTCTTGATTGAAAGCCTAATCCCACTCTTCGGATTGTAAGATTTCTGCTGAGAATGCTGCTTTTGGGTGATGCAGGGCTCTAGTCTGTGTTGTTTTTAAAATCTGAAAACCTCAAACTTTTATCTGTAAGACTTTCATTATATGATATCTTGGGATAAATTTAGTTGACTTAAATTTGTTTGGTAATGATAAACTGATGATTTGTAACCTTCTCTAGATCTGGGTTCTTATTTCTTTGCGAAAGCTTTCTATACTTTTGACATTTCAAAGTTCTTGCACCTGAATATTTGTTTTAAATCCTAAAGTTCTTGTAAACTTTCTAAATTATTCCTTATTTTTAAGTCTCTATGTATTTTCAAATAATCTGTCTTTGAACTCCCATTTTTCCTTATGTTTTTTCTCTCCTGCTATTGATGATTTCATGTTTTCAATTTTGCTGAATGGATTTTTCAGCTCAAGAATTTCTGTTTGATTTCAAAAGTCAGCTGCATATCTTTCACATTTCTCTGTTATAGTTTGAAATGCTTTTTTGTGTTTTCTTCCCTTTTAGCTCATTGACTTGAGCTTGAGCTAAGAGCTTCACTTCTTATATCAGCTGTTTTAAATATACCCTAAGAGGGGCAGGCCAGACAGCTCAGTGGACTAAAGCCCCCGCTTAGGCAGAGCACAGCAGCTGGTGTTCTATCCCCAGAGTGCCATGCAGGCCCTGCCCAAGGGGCACGCTGAGACGGCGATTGGGGTTGGGCATGGTGTTGCGTGCCTGTAATCCCAGCACTTGGGAAGCTGAAAA